ATTTGGTAGTTAGCGAACTATCTTATGAAGAAAATAGACTTGAAAGAAACTTAGGAAAGTATAGAGAATCCTGACCTATATAAATTGCTTTGAAATACACTTTGTATGAAAATAACATTTTTCCACTCCTTGAAACATGCTAATACATACTGAAGTGTATCTACTCATGTCTATACTTGATCCTGAGAATGCCAGCATAATTTATCATTGTTTTTTCAGTGAGCATGTTCATGTACTTGCCTGCGTACAGGGTTTGACTTCAGATGTGCTGTGCTCAAATTTAGACTTTAGTGTAAAACTTGCTTATGAAATGGCAGTCTTCAGAGGTGCTGAAGAATCTGCTTCAATAGCTGTTAATTAAATACCTGCCTCAGCCAGGGCTTTGAATTGTTTATGTACTTCCTAAAAGTGGGTAAGTAACAGCATAGAATCAGTATTTAATACTGTGAGGCTTTGAAAAAATGCCTTATTTTCTGTGTTGATAATTAAGGATCATCTAGATGCCATTTTGAGATGGAACATTTACTAGCACAGAGTTCTTCGTAAAGCATTATGTTGTTTTAATCTTACAGTAACACATACAGTAACACAGACACACAGCATCTCCTGCTTATTTTAATATAGTAGTGATATAATCCAGGCTTCTTCCTCCTGCTTAAGTAGTTTGGATATACTAGACCAAAGTAGTCTAGACTATTTGTATTAACTGACGGGAAGCCTTATATTGTTGGCATTTTATATATAGTATTTTTTGGATCTGTTTTCCAGTTCCTTTCCTAAAGAACCGATTCTGACTTCTGGATAGATACTGAGATGTAGTAGGTTGTTACTGTGTAGGATCACATTAAATATGGTAGGTTTTTAAACTGAGATCATATACTGAGTAAATTTATTAAATTCTCTACTTTTAGAATCTATTGAGTTAAGATTCTTAACTTCTGCATTCATTATGAAATTGTGAGTGATATTGGATTTTTTTTTAATCTAGGTTTAAAATAAAATTAATTAAATTTACAATATATTTTAACAGTGTTTTTTTATTGAAGAAAACCGTTTCCTGTAATAACTATATAAAATGGTTCTCTGTGTTTAATTGAATGGATTTCTTTCTGGTGGCTTTTTTGGTCAGGATCTTATAATAAATAGCTGTCGTTCGTTCATACTTTCACAATTTACAAACAAAAGGAGGTATTAAACATCTCCTACCTTTTCAGTTCCAAGTCATTTTACTAAGCTCCAGTGAATTAATCATTGGATGGAAATAGTTGAAAAACGCAAAAGAGGTTATATTGCAGCTGATTTTTCAGCACTTTGTCAAACACCAGTTCCAATACTTAATCAGTGAGTTCTATCGCTGAGTATGTATTTATGCAAGCTATTAAAATAATGTCACTTATAATAAATTTTAGGCCAATTATAGCTTGCCATAATTTTATATTTAATTTTACATTCTTTTTTTTTAAAAGTGCAAATTAAAAAATATCCCATATTAATGACTATACGAGAGACTTCAAAGTTTATCCAAATAGAGATGGATTCTGTAATTCTTAGTAAGTAGCTCTTGTATGAGTCATCTGAAATGCTCTTCTGTAAGTGTTGCAGAAACTTGCCCATGATAATTGGCATTTTTCTTGTATTGAAGCATCTTTTTATAACTTTGTGTGTGAAATTTTCCTTGCTTTTGGAAGTTTAGATGAATTCCATCTTCTTAATGAACAGTTAATGGTTAGCTGCCTTTTCAAAGGTGATCTTTGCTTTCCTTTTTTTTTTAAAAACTTCATTACTTTCTCCAATTAATTGCTGTTAGTTCACACACTTTCTTTTCTTGAGAATTATAAAAGGTCTGTAAGGTTAGGAAGTAACATAATGAACAGCAGCAATTTTTTTTTTTTCTGTATTCATTCCAGGACACTTAAAGGAGATGGTTACATTGTGGGGAAGAGTGTAACTTGCATAAACCAGTTTGATTTTAGGCTTGATAAATGTGCAGTTTTCTTTACAGAAGGAATTCCAACCAAAATATGTTGTCTTTTTCATATAAAATAGCTGAATACATGTGCAGTATATCTAACATGAACAGTAAATGCAGCTTGTGATTATTAGTGCTCATTATGTCTCATTTTGAGTTAAATAAACCAGAAGACTGGCATAAGAACACCAGGAGCTTGAATCCTCCCAGTTGGATTTGCTCTGGTAACTTGTAACTTTTGGGGGGTCAAAAGTGGGATCCTAAGTTGGAGTGAGCATGGTAATGTTTATGTAAATACATGTTGTGGTCATGCTGCTGTAGTTGTGATAGTTCAAGGGCTCGGGTGAGAAGTTTGTAGGTAGAGATAACATCTTGTACTAGACTAGCTAATATAGTAACAATAGATGCACCCTTGGGTGCACAACCCCCTTGTCAGGTCTTGAAAGGAAGCAGTAAGATTGAAAGCGGTAAAGCAAATTTTGAAGAATTGCTCCAAGTGTTGGTAGAGGCTGGTCAAAAAGACCATCTAGGAGAAGATATGGTATTTGGAGCAGGGGAGGATGCTAATGAGAAGTGATAATGCTCATCTCCTGTGGGGAACAGGAGGACACTGTAAAATTCATGTTAGCCATGTGGGTATCAAAAAGGAGACATTATAGTTTACTATAAACCCAGAATAAAAGTTTAATAGCTTTTTTTAGTGTTTTATACACTTGACAGCTGAGGTGCTTTATACCTCCCTTTTAAGGATCTGGTCTGAAGTTAGTCTTCGAATAGCAGTCTTTTAAGATGTGCTAGTAGTGCATTCTGTGAATAATAAAACATGCTCTTGGGTGTCCGAGTTCATTGTGTAGTGATTTACTTTTGCTTGGCTAACTTTCCCAAATGCGTGCGGTACACTGGATGAAACATTCTAGGGGATTCAGGAGTCTTGATCTTGTACTGGGAGGAGTAGATATTGTAATTGTGGTGATGTGTTCACGGGCGTTTAGTAGTTGGGGAAAATCTGCATCTGTTCAGTAGATGGTCTGCGGTGAGTTGACTTCTCATTTCAGTGAAGTTGGTGGTGAAGGTGAAGAAGCTGTTTGGAAATTAGGTGGGGTGGTTTTGGAAAAATGTCTTTAAAATAATAATTTTAATTAGTAATACCTGGTCGTATTTTGTAGTAAAGCTACCTTTTATTATCTGGTTTCAGTTAGAAGTTCAAAGGACTCTCTTAAATTTTATCTAAAGCTATATTGCTTGTGTGTGTGTTTGTTACGGTAATTTAGCTAATGACTTCACAAAATGCTTATATTTGTGGTTTAGGTAATTTTCAGTCTACTTAGTAAGGTTACCGAACATCTGAAGGAAGTAAACATAAATCAGCTGTTACCTTCCCCTTTTTTCTTGTTGATGCTTACAAATGGAAAAATACGTGGGTGTTACGTAGAGGACTTAATTTAAAAGAGTATAAATTGTTCTATTGAGAGCCCTCTTCAGAAATTTTTTTCTCTTCAGAATTTTGACTAAAAGGTGGTGAGCAGCCTCACATCGTGGTTGATCTGTGTTTGAACAATACATACTATCTAGAAATGGAGTATTCATATTCTCTAATGAGGTTAGAATGCCAGAGCTATTGTGGAAACTAGAAACAGTATCACTTGTTTGAAAACCTTCCTTTTTTGGTTAACTTTTATTGTTGTATAGAGAATATTCCTAATTTATTGTACAGAAAATGTGATCTTTGGAAAGTATGCTAAGACTTTTTAAAGCAGTATTTTGATTATGTCAATTTACTCTTCACATGTAATTGAAGTAAGTAAATATTCTGTGAGCGTTCTGTGGAACATGATGAAAAGCTGTAGCTTTTTCTGGAAATATCTTAGTTACTTTTTGTAGTTTTTTGAAGGTGTAAGAGGTGTATGGACAAGTTTGTATGTCCCTTAACTAGTGATCAACTTCTGATTTTCTTTATTTTTGAGGCTTTGTTTATACTGTATTCTGTTGCGAGATGTTCCCATTGATACTCAAATGTTCCCAAAAAATCCAGTCAGTCCAAGTCACCTGACATTGTTTAACTTTAACACTGATGCAATATCTAAATATATTTTAATCAGATATGATCCAGCTGGTCTTCCAGTCCTTGTGGCAGTACCTGTTTAAAAACAAACAACAACAAAAACAAACCCTCAGGATGTGTGCTGTGGTCTCCTAGGGAACTATATATCTTTGTTCTCAACTTAAGATGAAAACAGGGATGAAAATAGGTTTAATTCCCCTGGCAAAGACTTAAGATTTTTATAAAATGCCATTTGAAGCTTTTGATCCTGTGTGAGTAATAATAACCTGACTTACTCATAGAAAATGTGTTGTGGAATGTTTATATATAAAATTTTGGAAAATTATTTGGAAGTGTATTTGCAAAATGATTAGGGATCATGTCTAAAATTCTTGAAACGGAGACAAATCACCCAATGAATCACAAGAAATAGAAATTGGGGTGGAGCTGGTTAGATCCATTGCACTTACGAAAGCAACTTATGTATTTGGCAGTCTGTCATGAATGAATCTATTGAAAGAGACAGTACTGCCTTATAGTAATATATTTTAAATTTGTACACAGTTTAAGTGAGGATTTCTCCTAGCTGCCTTTTATCTTAGGACAGGTGTTTTGGCTCATGGGACACGTCTTCAAAAAGACCAGATTTCTAATATCCATGTTCAGATATCTATATAAATTTGTCGACTTAAAAAGAATCCTGAGGCTTGGGACTATCACTGTTCATCACCTGCTTTGGTTAATCATGTTGCCTGTGGCCTCTTAGCTTGAATCAAGTAAGTCCAGAATGGTGCAGGCAGGTGGTAGAGCATAGATATATTTTACCAGTATGTCCTTTCTGTTCAATTTCCTCTTATTTTTGATCATATTCACAGAATTAAATGTTCGAACTCCATCTTTTAAATAAATGCAGATGGATAATATGTTTGGAAGGAACTTCTTAAAATGGTAAATGTACTTATATAATACTACATACATGTTTACTTCTAGGAGAAGGAGCTACAGCTGAAGTTTCCTCATCTTTTGTGATTCTGTCTCTATGTACTCTAGTAGTACTGGTAATACTGCTTGCAAACTGTGTCTCCTGCTGTAAAGATCCTGAGATAGATTTCAAGGTAAGCATCTGAAGTTACAAATGTATATACAAGTGGTAATCTTAGCTGCATTCTGGTATCAAGAATACTTACTTGATTATTTGTGCTAATACTCTGCAGTTATTGACACTTCAGTGTCACTGTACATTCTCTCTCCTGAAGTAGCCAGCAACTGTATTTCTACATGCTGTGAAATCTTGCTGCAACCGTTTATTTTAAGTACTTGGTCCATGCTGCAGTAAGGATCTTTAATGTCTTTTCAAAATCGTTACTAGCTATCAGGATCAGTAGTAAAAGTATACCCTTGAGTATATTTTGCTCTAAAGAACCTTTTTGTTGTTTTTCTGTGTATTCTTTTAATTTTTTTTTTCTTAGTCTGCTGACAAGGTTCAAGACACTCCTGTTGAATAAGAATACTGAAGATACATGTCCACTGTAGCAAAACTGTTGAGGAGAAATTGTTATCATGAGAGAGCAGTTACTTTTGGAACATTGGTTATCAGTGTTCCTAAAATTGAGTTTTGCTCTCATTTCTAAATGGAGAATATTTGGCCTCGGCAGTACATGGTAATTCATTCAAAGCCAGGGACAGCATTTAAAGTAAAAAAACAAAACAAAACCAAAACCAAAACCCCACCAAAACTCCAAACAGAAAACAAACAAACAAAAAAACCCAAACCAAAACAAAAAAAAAAACCCAAAACCCCTTTTTGTTAAAAGCAGTACTTGATACTTCAATCTCTTTAAAGCAGTAATAAATTGAAAATAAGGAATAGAAAACTAAAAATCTGTCACTGTCCTTGGAAAAAGGCTAAACCTCCTTAACGTTGCTCATTCAAACTAAAAGAAGTGTATTAGTGCTAATTTTAAGACAAAGATCAGCTTGTTTACTAAGTTTTTTTTTTTGCAGGAATTTGAAGATAACTTTGATGATGAAATAGATTTTACACCTCCAGCAGAAGATACTCCATCTGTTCAGTCTCCAGCAGAAGTGTTTACTCTTTCAGTTCCCAATATTGCTTTACCAACTCCCTCCCAGTTTCCATCTCGTACAGGTAAAATACTGGTTTTTAATTTAACACCAAAATTCAGCAATTTCAGTGTCAAAAATGGAGTGTAGCTGATTATGTTTGACTGTTGTGTAACAAATTAATTGTTACAAATGTACATACACTGAGTAAACATATTTTGTGGAGTGTAGTATAAAATGTGAAATATTACTTCAGAAATGTTAACTTATGGCAGGGTGCCATGTAAGGTAGCTTAAGAGAATGAAATTAGCTTAAATAAACCTCTCTGGAGTACTTCCATTATGCCGCTATATACATAAAGGGTTTGAAGTACGCTAGGACGTTAGTGACTTCTGCTCTTTAGTGGTTTTCTTCATGGCTAAGTTGTCATTGGATTTTAGCCATTAACCTTAAATGAAGCAAGAGTGAATCTCTTACTTGACAGCAGTGCTGCTGTTTCAGCTGCATCGCTTTCTTAATGTCACTGTAGACTTTTCATGCTGTAAATGTGATACTGGTAAGACAGACATTAGATTTCTTTTCCCTGTGTGAAAGGTTTATTTTGGAATGTATTCTTTAAAATGCAATTTTTGTAAAAGGAAACTTAAGCATCTTAAATATTACAAGCATAGTTTAGCATAAAGTAGTTGCTCTGATACTACTTCACATACAATTTTTACATATATTGCTTGTGTTGCTTAATCATTAGATGTTCAGGGAAGCTTCTAGTAAAATTTTTGTACCTACAAATTTCAAGAAACTGTCAGTGTGCCTTTAATACAAAAGAAATGTTACTCCTCAGTGTTTTAGTGAGTGAGGGGAAAATTATCTGTGAAGAACTTTTTATGTCAGCTCTTCTACATTGCCATAATTATTAAAACTGTGCTTTCTGTCACTAGAAGTTATTTTGCCAGAAGTAAGGCAGTGTACTTGACGAAGGTACACTGGTGAAAATGTACTTGTGCTGATACAGCCTTCTCCATGCTTAGGAGCATGTTGACAGCTATAGCTGTTCCAGTAAAGTAATACTGGTGTAAACGTGGTTTATGGAAATAAAAATGTGGGCTAGAATTCTCAGTCAAACGAGTAGTAATGATGGAAAGTTTTTGTGTACATCTATTTATTAGTGTTCCTAACTGATGAGGCAGCAGAGGGGTAAACGCTGCTGAATCTCTTGTATAGTGTGGAGTCTGCCATAGTTACTGTCCATCCTCTGCCAAGATCTGGATCTTGTTTTCTATCCTTTTCCACTCTGGGCTCTTTACGTGAAGCATTTTTAGTCGGAAAATGTCCTCCTTCCAGATGGTAGCTATAAGTAGGGCAGTTGGGCTGAAGAGTAAAGCAGTCAAATCGTTTCTCTTAAAATGGTAGCTCTCTATGTAACTATAAATGTTAAGATGTACAAGCAATGAGTGTTGTCTTGGGTTTTCTACTTTTATTTACGTAGGAAACTTTTGTAAGTAGGTTATTTGCTCTCCCCAACTACAGGGTGTGATACACTTTTATATTGGAATTGGAACTCAGCCTTTTTGCTTTCTTACTGAATGTGTTCAAAATCAAAAGTTTACATTTCATAAGGAGAACCACTGTGTTTTTGTAGGGGGTGTGTTCTAGTATAGTTAGAAGCTGAGGCTGAGAAATGTTTCACTTGAGTGCTATTGTCACAACGTTACCTTCATACTTTATGTATGTCTAACTAGGTTTTGTTGCTTGGTCTGAATGTATGCACGTAATTGGGAATAAATACTGTAGTAGCTTGCATTATTTCCTCAACAGTTAGATAGCTTTGGCCATCTGAGTGGTTTGATACGTGTTACGTTTGTTTCGTTGTGTGTGACAGATGGATCAAAGTCTCAAGTTGCACGTCAGAGTCTAAACTACATCCAGGAAATTGGAAATGGCTGGTTTGGAAAGGTGAGAAGTTATCTTTTAGTACTGTACTGCAGTTTGAGTCTTATTCCTAACTGGCTAGGCTACTGTATTTTCTTTAAAATGGTACTCAAAAAAAAAAAAAAAAAGTAATAGCAATAAGAAAAACTGAAGTTGAAATTAAATATTTCTTGCATGCACTTTTTAGCTGTCATCACAGCACCAATCAGTGCTTCTTTAATTTACATGTAGTTTCTTACCAGAGTTACTTACTAGGTAGATGTTTCACTTCCATGGATTCGAATTAATACATTCCTGTTATTACCAATTCTTTCTAGGAAAAAATCTTAAGTAAATAAGTGGTCTTCTAGAAAACATGTTTTCTGAAAGTTGATGTGTAGATCAGTTGTCAAGATTTATTAAGTATGGGTGTTTAATTATCAAAGCCCTGCATGCATTGACAAAAAAAGCCAGAAAATCTTTCTTAGAGCATGTTTTTAGCTCTTGGTTTTCTCTGCAGGGAAACTCCAAAATTTTTTTCCCTCCCATTAAAGACACAATGGTTATCTTTTTTCAGGTTCTGCTTGGAGAGATCTACACAGGCACTAGTGTAGCAAGGGTAATAGTGAAGGAGTTGAAGGCAAGTGCAGGTCCCAAGGAGCAAGAACAGTTTTTAAGAAATGGAGAGCCATATTAGTAAGTAATGTTTCACAGCTTGGTTAACTTACACACTTCATCTACTGCATATGAATTATGGACATTTCTTTTTTTCAGTGTTACTGTCTCTACTTGCTCTCCTTTATAACTGAAATGCGTGTCTTTAAAAAGTGAAATACAGTCAATCCAAAGTGAGCAAAAGTTGAGTTTGCTTAGAAGTAAAAATAAGCTCTTTGCTTAAATGTGTTTGGTAGTTATTGTTCATGACTGGAAAACACACTGGGTGTGGCCTATCACATTTTCTTCTACAGCTGGAACAAACTCCTGATGTTGCAAAGTAACCTTATGCCTAATTACTTGCCCCTGAGAACTGAGGTTTAACTCCTGTACTTGGCTTTCCTGTTAGAAGCCGGGGAACTGGCAACACTTCGGCTGTTATCAGATACACATGAATTTCTTTAAAGTTCCCTTTTTCAAAAAATTAAATGCAACATAGTGATAAAAACTAATTTTGTTCAGGTAGCTTGCAAAGAGGCTTGTGCACAAAAAAGTACAGAATTACACCAACTTCAGCCCAGTAGTACTCTACAATTGAGAAATCATTGATCTGACTGGAAATGCCAATAAAACAGGATTGTTTGGTGTTCTCTTCCTCTTGTGTTATGCTTGGAGGTTACTTGCTTCTAGGGATTGAGTCCGTGTACTAGAAAGGAATTTGGTATATTAAAGGGAATGCAATTTCTCTTCCTGTGTTTTGGGAATAGTGAGGATTCTCTGAAGAGCTAACTGCCACAAGTTAATGGCTTTTGTAGATGACTGGAAAAGAGAGGCATATTGTAGTTCACTAGACATACCTCATTATGTGGTTTACCTTGCCTGAATATGCTACAAGTGAGTGGTCATAGAAAGCTTTCTAATGTCCTAGTTATATTTGCATTTAGGCTTAAATTGCTGGCAGTTGCCAGAAGAAGACATTTCATGCCTTCTGCTGCATTGGCACAAGTGTTTTTGAAGCAATTTAGAAAAAGTAACTGATCTGGCTGGGAACTAACCTGGCTAAAAAAAGGTTTAGCTTTTAGCCAGATCAGTTCCTCAGTGTAGTTCATGAACCAGTTGCATGCACTTACTTTTGGTATAAGGGATGGTGCGAGGATGGGTGTGACTTTCTTGTGGCCCTGCTGGCTTTTGTGGTTTTGAGATCCTCTGAGTTTCAGCTGCTCTCAATGACATGCTGCAGCAATACAAAGGAGATATAAAGGTGCAAACGGAATCTGTGGCTTTGGATACTTGCACCTTCTGTTCATGCCACCCCCCCGCCAACGTTATGTGTTGAAATTTCTGTTAGGGATTTCAGTGTGTTGGGTTATACTGCAAATAATGCATACTGTGATCTTTCTGGCTTTAACTGTATTTTTTCACTCCAGTATTCTTCAGCATCCAAATGTTCTCCAGTGTATTGGGCAATGTGTGGAAGCCATTCCTTATCTCCTAGTTTTTGAGTTCTGTGACTTGGTAAGTGCACTTATACAAAAGGCTGCAGTTGTTTTTCCATTGGTGTAAATTGTATGTAGTGTATTTACTGCCCTTCACTGATGAAATGATTCTTTTTCTTTCTGGTAAGTTTCTTGAATAACCAGAATTTCAGACGATTGACTTTTTTTGGTTTAGAGACAGACCACAAGTGTCATTTTTTGTTTACATTCTTTTCAATTTATCAGGTAAATTCTAGGTGATCGTGGAGTGTTCTGAAGAGGAAAATAGCTGTTTTGTCTTTGATAACAGAATTACTAGTTTCTTTCAGTCTGCCTACATCATGTAACAGGGAGCTTGGAGGGGAAAGGAGGTCACAGAAGGAAGCTTTTTATTGCAGCCCAGTATCACATGCACATGCTCACAATCACATCCTAAATTCTGTTTGCTGTCAGTGCAGCCTTAATGTGCTTTTATTACCATTTCTATGAAAATGTTAATTGAGGAAACAAAGAATTTCCTCCCTTCTGCCTCCTCCCCCTCCAGAGTGCCCGAATTTTACCCATGCGGTGCAGCTTTGGGCTAAAATGCGATGGTGGGCTTACTTCCAGAATTGGTAATGAGTGTATTCTAATAGCTAGAATTTTCAGTATCATCCTATTCTCTTCCTGATCCTTTCTGTTACTGTATTCTTATTTTCCCTACTCTTACCCTTCTTTTCTTTCCCTCCCTCCCTCGTCCCCCCAGTAACTGCCTTATTATGCTTCCTGAACACCAAAGGAAATGCTGAGAGCACAGTGAAGAAGGGTGTTCTCACTGCTTTCTGCTCTGCTGTTAGGGCCACAAAGGCCACTGAAGATGGGAAGGGTAGTTGCACAAAAACCTTGCGCAGCCACTGCATTCCTGGGCATGTGTTGGAATTTACATGAATGTTGCAAGAAAGGGGTTGGTATGCGTGTACAGAAGCTTTGAACTGTGCCCAGTATACACAGTCTTCAGAGACTAGAATTTGGATATGGTGATGGATCCATGGTCTGGAAAGACTTGAATTGCTTTATGGTAGCATAACACATTACTAAAAAACAAACAAACCCAGAACTGCAGGTGGCTGTCTAAACATTGGCTCAATAGCTGTTTTTAAAGTTTGTGGTCTAGATAACATTTAAAGCAGAGTTCCCTGAAAAATGTCAAGACAGAAATGAACTCAGAAGTGTTAAGAAATAAGTCTTTCAGAAGTAAGATAGTTTGCATTTATAAAATCCAGCAAGATCCTTTTTTATCAGCTTCACTACTACAGAATTTTCCTTTAAGCTTAGGTGCACAAATACGGTTCTAGTTGCATCAGTTGCCTCAAGCAATTTAAATAAGAGTTAACATGAACTTTTGAGTTTTCTTGAGAAACATCAGTTAATCTGTGACCTTAAATAACTGTATTTTTCATTACTGCTCTTTTGCTCAAATTTATTAGCTGTGGTAAATTAATGAGGCAGAAGTGCTGATAAAATAATTCTTTTCTAAATGGAAGAAACGCCTGAACTTTTTAAGTGACTGATCGAAGTGAAATGTTCCGTTTTTGCTAAGAATTAAAAAGTAGGTGCCTAAGGTTAATCAGATAATGGTTTTTATAGTTTTTCAATAGGTAGAAATGGAATACTTCTTACTGATTTTAAACCTGATAGTCAAATTGGAGGTTCTTTAAAAGGACCCTTGAAAGAGAATTGCATTTTATAGAGTCTAACAGATACATATCCAAATACTTAATCAGATTTAATTGCTGACATGGTTTTAAATAGTTATGCTGTTTAATCCAACTTTGAATTTGAAGATGGAGTAACTTTTAAAGATTGCCCTACTTTAAGTATACAGGAAAAAAATAATATCCTTGTTTGACGCCTGGTGATTAATGCCAGAAATTGTCATGATCCTGCAGAGTAATCTGGAAAGGATTTTACTTAAGGAGGTAAAATACTCACTTTAACTGGGTGCAGTAAGCTCAACAGCCAAAGTGGTAGTTTTAAAAATTCGAATGTAGTTAGGTAATTTCTTTGGAATGGAAAATAAATGTCTATGCTGATTTCTATTCCAAGTGAACTAAAACTTGTTTTTAGAAAATTATATATTATAGTGAGTTAAACATGACTTTCATACTGAAAGTCTGGGTCACTTGAAGAGTTCTTACTTGGTAGAGCTGAGTATCTCCTAGACATCATAGTATTTTATTCACTGTGCACACAAATATACAGGGGCTGGGCAAACAAAGCAGTGTTCACTTGAATAGTTTTATGCAGAGATTGAGACGAGTGCAGTAAGTTAGTCAGTATTGCTGTATGTCACTAATTCTTGTTGTAGTCCCAGGGCCTAGTGTGGGAGGTAGCAATATTGGAGTGAGGGGAGAGGAGAGACATGAAGAAGGAAGAAATGTGAAGGAAGCCAGACGGCACTATTTGGAATAGAAGGTATGGCTAGATAGCTTTTTTTAGTAGGCAGGTTTTTAGTGGAGTGTCAGTAGGCTGATACTCTAGAAGCTGCTTTTTATCACTGTGACTGGGATGACAGTTACTTTTATTTTTCAGGCTTTTAATAAATGATCTCAAAAGCTGGTAGCTTCTTTTGTACTTTGTTTCTGAAATGGGGTAAATCGGGGGATATGGAGGTGCTTCTAAAACATGCAAGAGTGATTCTTCAGCAGAAGGACCATAAGGGCAGGTGCAGTTGAAGTGGTTGACTAAAGGTTCTCATGTCTGTGGTGACTATGTATTGTTCGAATGGGAAGGATGAGAAACATGTTCCTGTTTTCCTAGCAGTAGTACAATGCTATGCTAAACCTCTTTACCTTGTGTTACTGGTGTTGTATATGTATATACAACAAAGAATAAACTTGTTTTAATCCCTTGTATTTATGTGATTAAGAATTTGATGGTTAAGAAAAAAGGTGGCAAATATGTCAACTGGGTTGGATAGGAAATTTAAATGTCTGCAGATGACAAGTTCTTTTGAGGCTTTTTTGGCAATGGAGAGTTCATTTTGCAAGTTTGGCATATTAAGTAATGAGAAATGTGACTATTCTACGGACCAACACAGTCTAGAGGATACGGCAGTTGTTTTCTTTGCGCTCCTTCAAATTCATAGCTTGTCACAGCATGTACCCTTTTAGCCACTTCTTTTACTAGGATTCGTAGCCTTTTTAGGGCTACTTGACCTTGTTTTGGCTGCTCAGGCAGCCCTGTTGGATTATCAGTTCCCAGGCTCCTTGGCACTGAAAGATCTTGATCAGAGGCACTGGAAACTGTAGTGCAGAGATACCAGAGCTAATGTCACAGTAGCAACGCTGAATGTCATGCAAGCTAACTTACTTGTTTTCTTGGCCATATAAACTACTTATACATTTCTGTTACTTGAGATTGCTTGGTTGTATATGCAGTAACTGTATTTGCTAGCATTTAGCCTATTTTATAATGTAATCCAAGTTCCTCTATGTCCCTTGCTTTGCAGAGCTGGGCAAGAAGCAAGAGAGGTCAGTTGCACATAAGTGATTTTAAGTTTTTAAGTCCTAGTTTTCCTTTGCCTGTGTTAAAATTGTTTAAAAAATGGTAAATACTAAAAGAAATGCTCAATAAGTTCTTAACGCCTCCCCCCTTATTAGTTTGCTTAGTATGTTGGTGCAATCTTCTATGAATAGCTAACTGTTCACTGTTAAACATTGTACAATGATGCCAGGTTAAAAATAGTGGTAGCTGGCTTATTAGCTTCAATATATTACTCAGCCGTGTGTGGCCAGCATTTTGTCAGCACAGCAAATCCTCTAATGGATTGACATAATTTATGAGTAAAGTTATTCAAATGTGGAAGTAGCATGTATATTGTGAGTCTGATTTGCTTATCAGATTCTTACAGAAATTCTTCAAGTCCTACAATTCCCTGAGCAGATGAGATCAGGATGCAGTATTTGCCTAGAATGCCCTGTAGCTTGCTTTAGGGATGTTGCTGTTAGTGGAAGGTGCCTGCCTGCAGTGGTTGGTTCTTTCTTTTGTTTGAGCTTTTTCTAATTACTGCCACTTGAACACATTATCTCCAAATCAAAAAAGAATCTTTGCAATGAAAACTTCTTAACCAGAGAGTTCAACAAATCTGTTTAATAATCATAGTCAATATCAGTATGAGGCAAATACTAGATATATCAGTGGTGTGTGGTTTAAAAAAAAGGCAGGGGGTTGACAATTCATGACAACTTCAGAAATCATGTCTGCTGGGTTCAAAGACTCTTTGTGCTCTCAGAACTGTTTCGTATTTCTTAAAATTACTAAACAACTTTCTGATGGTATAGGTGCTCTATACCATACACCACTTTCAGGCATTTTAGTGGTAGTGACCGCAGGTACTTACACTGAGAAGCAATATTGGAGGGGGGAGGCAGGGGTAGTGTTTTTAGTTGTCTAAGAACTTCAAAAGGGGCAAATATGTGGTATTGTGTGACTTAGCAGGTAGCTTTCCAACTGGGTAGAAAGTGTTCAGTAGGCATAATTTGGTAACCTCTTTACACTTTTGAAATCCTATCATCAGTACCTAGTGGCTTAAAAAGTCATGTCAACTATTTGTTTGGGTCTTCATATGACCAAATGTGGAATTTGCACGAACAAGAAAACTACCAAAGAGTACTGCATGTAAATATGCCCCTGGCTTCTGGTTGCTACAGAGAAAAAGCATATTAAGACTTACAAAGATGGCTGAACTGATCCTGACTAGAACTGAGAAGGATGGGAGGAACGACGAAACCTAGTTCTTTATGGAGTCCCAGGAGAGGAGGGAAGAGGCAGAGTAGCAGAGGAAGTTGAAAATTCAAGCAGTGAATTTTGCAGAACTGTATTTATTCAGATATGTATAACCTTTGATATTTACTGTGTTAAAAAGTCTATCTGATAAAGCGCCATTTTGTTGCTCATAAAATAGTATGGAAATAGTATTGATGTGTTGCTGTTGTCTGCTTGTGGGCAGAGAAGCATCGTAGGGTAATTCAGGCTAGCAAGGAGCTCAGGAGGTCTCCACTCCAACCTCCTGCTCAAAGCAGTGTCGGCCTGACGTCAGACCAGATTTCTCAGGGCTTTGTCCAGCTGGATCCTGAAAACATCCAAGGGTGGAAACTGTGCAGTCTCTCTGGGCAATCTGCGCTTCTGCTCCAGTGTCCTCATGTGGAGAACAGTTTTCCTTATACTTAGTCTGAACTTCTCCTGTTTCAGCTCAGCCTGTTGTCTCTCATCCTCCCTCCATGCTCCACTGTGAAGAGCCTGGCTCAGTCTTTAATAACTTCATACGTACTGGACAGCTGCTATCAGGTGCTCCCAAAGTCTTCCTTTCTCCAGGCTGAATGAGCCCGGTTCCCTCAGCCTCTCCTCATGATGAAATGCTCTGACTTCCTGACGGTCTTGGTGACCCTCTACTGAACTTTTTCCAGTTTCTTGTCTGTCTTGTTTTGGGGCAGCCAATACTGGACACAGGATCTAAATGTGGTCTAGCAAGTGCTGAGTAGAACGGGATAATCCCTTCCCTTGGTCTACAGGCTATGATCCTGTTTTTGCAGCCCAGGAGGCTGCTTGCAGTCTTTGCTGCCAGGGCACCCAGGTGGTTGATGTTCAGTGTGCTGTCCACCAAGATCCCCAGGTCGCTTCCTGCAGAGCTGCTGCCCAGCTGATCAGTCCTCGGTCTGTATTGTTGCAAGGGGTTTTTCATTCCCAGGTGCAAGACTTTGCATTTGTCCTTCTGGAGTTTCGTAAGGTTCCTGTTGCACCCTTCTTCCAGCCTGTCCAGGTCCCTCTGGATGGCAGTCCAGCACTTGAGTGTATTCATTGATTCCCCCCAGTTTGGTATAAGCAATGCCGTTTTAAAGCAATACCAAAAAAAACTCTTTTATGTTTTTAACCTTGATTGTAGCCTTAATTAGAATAGAATGGGAAAATAGAACCAGTATGTTTCAAGGTGCTGGATTTAATACAAGTTGTATTTCCTACAAAAATGTGTGCCTACATGAATTATTTAGTAAACAAGGGATGCCACACAGCACTGCTGTTAATAATGCATTTAAAAATCAAAAAGTAATTCCTTGGTGCGTTTCAGGCATCCTAGGAACTTAATCCACCTGGGACAAACCCTAAGTAACCAGTTGCTGTTTTAATGAGTGACAACAATTTTGGAGAGTTTGGCTTTCTTCGGGCGCTTGCTGCCACCTAGAGTCAGTTAAGCTTGGTGGTTTGTACTTGCTTATATTCGTTAGGCTAAGCAATTGGGAATCTGTGCGTGTTATGGATGCTGTTCATTTTGTTGTTCTTTGGAACTCTGTTCTAGTAAATTTGCTCTGGCAAGGTAGAAAGGTGTGTTTATATATAATGTTTATACATATATACATGAGCCAGTACGATATTAAAGCTGTAATTGTAAGTCAGAAGAATCTTTCAGGAAATATTTTTAAAAATATAATTCTGTAGGATGCAAATACTTAAATGTTACCTAATTAGCAGCTAAAAACAGGATAAAGAGAATGTAATGAAGGCTTCTACAACATTAAACAGTATTAGAAGTTATGCATGCTTTCTCACAAGGTGATATAGCTACTTGCAGCATAAGTAGTACATACAAAGCAGGTGAAGATAGAATAGTTGCTTGTGCGTACAGTAGAATCTATGCATGTTTTAAAAAAATTAAAATGAAGTTGTTTTACATAGGAGCAGTGTCTGCTTTTAAGTCCCATTGCTTCTTATTTTATTAAATATAAGCCAGGTTTGTGGCTGTCCAGCTAGTCACCTCAGCTATCACTGCACTGTTAGATTTTAATGCATCACAGACATCTACTGCTTGAATTAACAGAATTGTAAATTGTTATCCTCAATTAACCATGTTAAAGAGGAATGAGATGCTTTGATTATAGCTCCATAATGTACATGAGCACCAGAGGAACAGGAAGTTTAGTGATCTTCAGTCTTTTCTGAACATCAGAGCGCTTTTTAGCCAGTGCAAAGGCTGCCGCCTTGTCAATCTCAAGACTTCCCTTCAGTCTCCTTTCTGGCCCAAGATCTAGGCAGATAAGGGACCTGGACAGTAAGAGCCCAGAATGTTACTCTGGTGAAACAAGTTGTGATGTAGTATGTTGTGCAGTCTCAATACAAAAATACCCTCTGAAATAGTATGCTAAACTTACAGAAAGTCTATATTTTAAATAACAAAAATATAGGAGTGCTAGACTAAAAGTCTAACTGTGAAAGTAGGAACAATAATCACATGAAAAACACCTTCTCTTCCCTTGCTTTGATTCACTTACTATAGTCTTGCTTTTCCTGAATGTTTGACAACTTTCAGTTATTTTTCCTCTATTTCAAAGCTGTTCTTTTTTTATTAATTTATGGAGTGCTTCTATGGGCTCATTAATTATGTGGCTGTTGCTCAGCATTGCCTAGGTTCAGTGAAACTGCTGCCATCCTCTGAATTCTTTGACTGTCGGAGTGGGGTGTATTTTTATATCTAAAGGTCTGGTGCGCTGGCAGTGTCTGAAACCCTTTTCTCTGGTCTCTCCCTTCCATCCCTTTGCAGATTCCAGACAGTCAGCTTTGCTGATTTGGAGCACTTGAAAATTCATCTCACTTAAAAACAGAAGCTCATCAAACTTGTTTTTTAATGGAAAGTATTATTGCATGACATTTAGGTTTTATGTCGCAGTCTGATCTACAATGTTAATTACTAAATGATTTGATTAAAAAACCCTTAAAAGGACAATACGATATGCCTTAGATAACTTCTATAAGAATCCGTATTGAGACTGGAAACTCAAGGAGATTTTTTTATTAAGCACAAATGTGATTAATAAGTAATGTGGTTAGTTGATTCTTCATTAAATATTTTTCAGATTCAACGAACATGCAAGGCTGACAAGTATTTTCAACTTCTTTTACAGGGTGACCTAAAAACTTATATCTGCAATGAGCAGGAACACATTAAAGGAGATTCACAAATAATGCTGCTACAGAGAATGGCGTGTGAGATTGCTGCTGGACTTGCTGTAATGCATAAACATAATTTTGTGCATAGGTATGCTTTCCAGATAAACGGCTTTTAGTTATGATGCACTCTAAAATTCCTGTAGATATTTTCATTAAAATCCGTGTGTATTGAACATTGTGTTGTAACAAACTTCTGTCTAACTTGCATATCTTAAGTCATGAAAGTGTGATGCTTATGAAGATGCTAATTTAACTGCAGTGGTGTGGTGTTACAGCTCCCACCTGGCTGAAAGCTGATCACCTGCTTTTTAGGCTTGCAGCCCATAGAATACAACCTACTGCTAAGCCAATCCAGAAGATGTAGTTGTTAGATTAATTCTTGGCCAAGTTAAATTTTTGTTTATTGGGGGGGAAGGATGGTAGAATTTTGTTAGCATAAATCTTACCTGCTGTGTATTTTTTATAGATTATAGCAATTTAGAACTTCTGTTCGGTAATCTGTTACCTTTGTTACTAAAAATGGGGGAAAAAAACCCACCAACGCTGCCTTTCTGATGCAGTAAGGGAGAAGCTGACTTCAGAGGAAAAGTCTGACTGAAGCAGGTGTTCTCTCACTGAATTATTGTTCATGTAGCCTTTTAATCCTCAATAACAGAGGTAGTCAGATTTAGAAGAAATCATAATGGGAGAAAAATTTTGTTTTAATCGGGGCGAAAATGCTAGATTTCTTTATTTTTAATTAAAGTTAATGCACTTGATACTGAAAGAATGGCAGTAGTAGTAAAAGGCTGGGAAAAAATGTATTTATGAAACTAGTTGCTCAGAAATATGCCAAAACTAATTTTTTTGGCTTTAAATGAAAAGGTGTTAAGGAACTGGAAGACATCAACCTTAGACTTGTAATGACCAAAATTTTAAAGAGTACTTGCTCCCCGAATGTGGCTTACCTGATGAAACCTTGGGTATCACAAGATAGTTTATTTTGGTTTTATGTTGGGTCAGTCTGTTCTTTGCTGTAGAAACAGCACTTTCAGCAAGTTAGGAACTTGTGCTAGAGCTTGTCAATGCACATCTTGCTACTTAGACAAAACAGAGACCTTGTGTTCAGGGAGAAGCTGAACTATTAAACTGAAGTCTTGAAAAGTGCAGGTGTAAACCAACAGCAAAACCTTGAGAAAACGCCAAAGCCTGGACTCAGCTAGTGGCTGATGGGCAGAGCTATTCTTTTAACCTGTTCAACAATTTCAAATGACTTTAAGGTAGTAGTAACAATTTTATCTGTCAAACTTGAGTGATCACTGTTTCTTGTGTTGCAGCAGCATGGCTTTGTAGGTATTGCATTTAACAGTATGTTTTCAGTGAAACACAATTAAACTTGATAAATAATTATTCTATGGATCTGCAAGATTCTCATTGTAAACGTTTACTTCTAGCAACACTATCCTGATGCTGTCAGAGTAAGTGGTAAAGCTCCAGCATCAGTGATTTTGTTGTTAGTGGTAAATTCAAGCAGCCAAAATTTTATTTTCTCTTCCAGGATATTTATTTAAATAGTATAAAACAAGTTGGAAAGCTTTGGGGCGTAATTGAGGGTTACAAATGTGTTTCTGACCTGTGTAGTTCAATGACCCTGGAAAGGAAAACATTTTCTTTTTTCTTTGAAGTAGAGAAACTGGGTGTCTTTCAGACCGTTGGTACTTCAGGGATTTTTTTTTAAGCCACACAGAAGCAATGGTAGAGTTCTTCCAGTGCACTTAATTGCCTGGTACCCTTCTGTGAAACTGAGAAGCAAAATATTTGAGCAATTAGTCTGTGGAGCTCTTTGCTGTCACAGCTACTGTTCCGTAGTAAGCATGCAGCTTCATTAAACATGCATAAATTTCTGAGTTTGCATGATGGGTTTTCTGAAACACCTTCTTTGTGTTATTACAGCAGCACTGCTGGCTATAAGTACTTGTGGTCTTGTGGTCTACTTTTTCTGGTGGTCTTTTTCAAATACTATCTGTAGTTCTAGTTCATGTGTAATGTATGGTTTTGTTATTTAGAGGAACTTAACTGTAGGTGTAAGATGTTACTAGTTGCTTAGTATCATATTGTAAATTGTTAAGTATTTAAACCTTGTATGAATTGTTGATAGATTTTACTTACGACAACTAAAATGCAAGACATGCAATGATAGGTGTTAGTCAAATGCAAGACATGCAATGATAGGTGTTAGGTAAAGAGGGACCTACATCACTCTAACATGTGAACAGCCCAAGTAATCTACATCATAGTATTATTAGTAGAATGAAATAATTGCATATAAAATCTGTGTGTAATTTGAATGCTTAAGAGTATACTTCATTACTCTAGAGAAGTGACTATATTTTGAACTTCTTTGTAAAGGATATCGTAATAGTTTAGGGTTTTTTGTATAAAATCTTTAAATGTGATTGCCTTGTCACTGTGTTTAGTTTTATTTGGATTCCGCAACACAGATTTGCTCGATTGTGTGGCTCTAAATTGATTCTCTTCTGAAAATGCGGGAGGGCCTGAGGGCAATATATCCTTGTGGCCACAAAACAAGTCTTGTCCAGTAAGACTACTGTAAGGAGACACCCTAGCAGTGTTTGTTTTTTCTGAAAGTGATGAGTGTTTATATGAAACTACGATGTCTGCAGTATTCCAGTGAGATATGGGATCAGTTGTTGGCTTGTATAGGTTCTAAAACTTAATGAAAATGTAAGTGACAAGAGGACTATCTTAACATTTAGTTTGGATCAAAATTGTACTTCTGAAATGAATCTTGCCAGTTACTGTGCCTGGGTTTGCATTATGAGTTGGTCTTTTGGAGTGCGTGGACTGGTTTAATTTCATCCAAAGAGAGTCAGAAAGGTAGCTCCAGGCTACCTAGCTCCACACCTTTCTTGTACCTAGCTTGCTTCAGCCTTTAGTAGGATTTAGGTCTATGGGATCGGACTACAGCTCATGTGAATAAAATCGCTAAAGTGTATATAGTGTGGATGTTGAATCCTTAGCACTAGTTGTTTCGTATTACTGATCTGCTCCTATTATGGCCTGCTATTTGCTACTGTAACCTATAAGTGTGCATAACTCGATTTTTTTTTTCTTTTTTTTTTTTTAATTTTGTTGGCTTTTCATGTGATACTTTAAGCTGTGGCCTGACTGTTTTAAGACGTTGTTAACCTGCTTGTCTTAATTTGCATTGAAGACTTCTTGGTTTGGTCTCATTATTTATTTGTTTGCTTTTTCAGTGACTTGGCCTTACGGAATTGCTTTCTTACATCCGATTTAAATGTCAAAGTAGGAGATTATGGTATAGGATTCAGTAGATATAAGGTAAGTTAATCTAGTCATGTACCACTTTTTTTTTTTTTCCAAACTATTTGGGGCCTAAGGTTATAACAAGCATACTTTAAAGTTATAAACTGATATTAGATTGTCCTTTATTTGAATAACGGACTTTCAAAGTATAACTGGCAAATAACTGTAGCAAGCTCATGTAACAGAACAGATGATCTTTCTAGAGATGAGTGGAGTTTATGCTTGTAGAAGGAAGCTTCTGGTTAAATCTATCTTTTTTAGGTCCTAAAATATGCACAAATTCATTTTAATGTTTTAAGAAGGGAAAAATTCAATCAAATTTCTTAATGAAAATGTTCAAAATATTTAAATATATCAAGAAAGTGAAAAATTCAAGGCATTAATTAAAAATATTTTCTGAGTACCAAACCTTAAACAAGAAGTTGGCATTCAGTTTTTCTACTATGCAGTGAACAGTGAGTGCCTTTCCTCTATAGCATTATTCTTTGTTACTTGGGGAAAATGGGATTAATTTTTTTAATTCTAATTTTTTGCATAGGGATCACATAAAACCATATTAAGGAAAGGACTGTCAACTTCTGGAAGTTGATCCAATGTTTGTTCAGTCTTTTTCTGTGTTTTTATCAATAATTTAGGAAGATTATATTGAGACAGATGAGAAGAAACTTGTTCCTCTCCGATGGACTGCACCTGAGTTAGTAACAAGTTTTCAAGACAGACTGTTATCAGCAGAGCAAAATAAATACAGTAACATATGGTATGTAGTAAGCTTTAAAATAATTTCAATGAGAGATTTGTGAACATATTTTCAAATGTTACACAAAGGAGTAAATAATATTTATAGTTAAATTGGATATTGGCCTGATGCACTGCTTTTTTATTTCATCAGATATACAGTAGGTTAATCTCTACAAACCTGAAACTATATCTTGCTTTGAAAAGATGCTTAGAAATCAGTTGAGAGAGCAGTTAGTCTAAGAAAAAATGTTTAGCAGAAAAATAGACGTTTATACTAACAAAAGTAATTACTGTATGTTTGCCAAATGCCTTCAAATGTTTATAAAGGAAGGAAATGGTAAATGATTTTTCCAGTAATATAATAGCTGTGGATGACATAAAAAGTTGATGCCACTAGAGCCCGATTAAGTTCTATGGGTAGAACAGTAGCATCTTAATTTCTTGCTGTAGCATTTGAGGGCTGCAATTAACTGTTCGTCTCTGCTACCAGAGAGCTTATAGACAAAAGCTAGTGAAAATCTTGAAGGTGAACTTTTTTGAAATTGCCAAGTTCTACTTCAATTTTCAAGTCCTAAGAAATGTGGATAATGGAAATTGGGGCTCAGGCTCACATTTCTGAAAACATTCTAAGGATATTAAATAGTAAACTAGGTTTTATTTGCTAATTTAAAGGTAGGGTTGCAGAAAGCAAGTGGGATAGATAAAATTATCTAAATACTGATTTCCTTGCATCTTTCAAGCAGGCTTCCTCAGATCATACTGTTCATCTAAACTACAAGCACCCAGGGTCTAAAGGTTTTCAACTTGAATTTTAGTGCCTTTTATATAGAGCTGCTTTGAATGGGTTTGGACTAGATGACTTCCAGGGACCCCTTCCAATCTAAATAATTCTACCGTAATACAGTTACTTTGCATTTTGAGCAAGAAAAGGTTGCCCAAAGATCAGCATCAGCTCTAATCACTGAAAATATCATTAGTGTTGTATACAGTATGTATACAGCACTGAGCAAAAGAGGTGACATCTAACCGCTGCAGCTTAAAAATAAGTAATTTTATGAAAACTGAAACAGAGATTAGTTCTCTAGCAGTTTGACCCATAACTGCAATTTCTGATGAAAGTTCTTCCTACTGTTGGACTAACCATGAGGTTTATTCATCTTGCTTCTCTAAATAGGCATTTTCTACTTTTTTAATATGTGGGAGTTTCTTCCATAGTTGAATCATTTGAGGCCTCTTGTATTTTGTTGCCTTCATTGGTGTTGCCTTCATTGTCATTGCTTTCAAGCAACTTTATTCTTGAGGCTTCTAGCATTCTATCAAAAAAAATGAGTTAACAGGTTCTGTATTAGAGCCAATCGGAGAGTGATATTTGTTTCTTCTTGCCAGTTACGCTTTGCATAATCCTTACTTTCTTAGAAAAGCAACTTTAAAATAGTTCTTAGAATGTACAGTCATTTGCTGCTCTTTTTCAGGTCCCTGGGTGTCACGTTATGGGAGCTGTTTGAGAATGCTGCTCAGCCTTACTCAGACTTTTCTGACAGGGAAGTCCTAACCCATGTCATAAAGGAGAAGCAGGTTAAACTCTTCAAGCCACGTCTGGAGCAGCCATACTCTGATAGATGGTAAACTTTAAATGTTTTTATTTATTCTTAAAGCTGCTGAAGAAGTTTCTCAAATCACTCAGTTCTCTTAAATATATTGAAATTGCTACATGGAATCATGCTCCTGGCAAAGAAACCCTGCGTAAAAGTAAAAGGAGTTGCTATAGATGGAAATTCCTGCCAGTGATATTAGTTGTTACTCCTTAGCTTGTTAGATATCTGAATTTTATAAATCCCTTTTCAGTGTGAAACCTATTGAAACATGTTTCTTATTTGTATAGGTACGAAGTTCTGCAGTTCTGTTGGCTACCGCCAGAAAAGAGACCAACAGCGGAAGAAGTGCATAGACTTTTAACTTACCTTCGCATGCAAAGCCAAAGGGACTCAGAGATTGATTTTGAACAGCAGTGGAATGCTCTTAAACCAAACACCTCAAATAGAGAAACAAATAATTCTGCATTTCCAATCTTAGATCACTTCACAGGAGATAGGCTTGGCCATGAGATGGAGGAAGTTCTTACTGTAACTGAAACAAGCCAGGGTCTCAGCTTTGAATATATCTGGGAGGCAGCTAAACATGATCATTTTGATGAATGTGGTCATGTGAATCCTGATGAAGCAATGACATACACAAGTATTTTCTTTCCAGTGGAGGTTTTTGAGAGATCACTTTCAGAGCAAGGGTCAGGAGCACAGGATGGAAGTGGTCAAGAAGCATCACTTGCTGTCCCTGGGGTGTTACCTGTGTTTGATGCACACAAGCTTTCTGTTGGAAATGACTACTATATCCAGTTAGAGGAAAAAGGAAGTGGCTGCAGCATGAATTTTGATAACCAATCAGTTGTACTAACTACAGAAGTTGATCATCAAGAAGCTGTACAAGAAAAAAGCTCTCATTTCACAGTTCTCAGGGATCTTGATGTTGAAGAATCTAGTACTGACGGGGACTTCTTCCACTACAATACAGATCCTAAACAGGAATTTTTGCCTGCTACTAGTAGTCCAGAAAGTCCTTTCCAGAATATCTTTAATGACATTGACAGATCAGAAGAATTGACAAACAGAAAAATACTTGGTTTTGCTGAAACAAATGATGTTCCTAAAGACTTTAAACCAGCTGTTTTAAACTCAAACACAGATGCTAGAAAGGCAGTAGGCCTTTCTGAGAAGGAGCATTCTAGTCATGCTTCTGAATACGAAACAGTTTCCTTATGTGAAAATATTTCTAACCAGTCAGACTTGGTAACTTTAGAAGAACTTTCTGATAACTTCTTATTTCTTCAAGAGAAAAACTTACTAACAGGATTGTTGTCTAACAAAACCAGCAGTGATTTTGGCCAAAAGACAGATGATGTTCTAAAAAATATATTAGAAACCTCAAATAGAAACTCTGTAGAGCCTGAGCCTGTGTTGGCTGAAAATGCACAGGTCTTTTCTTTAATACATGAAAGTCTTAGAACAGTGAAAGATGAAAACTTTAACCCAGTGACAATGAATAAAGATCCGAATTCTCAGTCTCAGACTACTGTAGAGATGCAGGCATCCTCTAGTCCATCTGTAGCACATAAGTCATGTGATAAACGTGCAAATCTTCCTTATTTGAAGGATGAGGGAAACCTTTTAAATGAGGAAGTGAATGAAGTCGTGTCCTATGACATTGATATTCTCTGTCAAGAAGAGCTATCCAATAATGCCAAAAATAATAATGTTGGAAACAATCCATATTACGGTGTTGCTGTTGAAACAGATGAGTGTGATGCACAAATAAAACAGGGAATGCTTTTCAAGTGTGATGAAATAGCTTTTAATAGAGAAAAATGTAGTGATCAGGAAGATATGAAAAGAAACTTGCAAGATAAGTCTCCTATATTAAAAAAAGATGAATGTTTATTGGAGGAAAAACAAGAAAAATCAAATCATTTTGAGAACTGTAAGGATGTTCCAGAAGAGGTGACCTTAATTTCTGTTGCTACTTCGGATTGTACAAGTCAGGATAGTCTTTTGGAAGACAGCCCATCTCCTATACAAACCATAGAACAAGCCTTAGAGACACCTGATTCTTTGGATTCTTTAGATGTAAATGAGGTTTTAGAATCTTTACAGGCTCAAAGTCCTCAGAAACTTTTGCCACCTGATAAACCTGCTGACAGTGGCTATGAAACAGAGAACCTGGAATCTCCAGAGTGGACTTCCCATATCACTGTTGAGGATGCTTCTACTGTAGATACTGCTCTATGTGTTGTCAGCGAGAGCAATGTCAGTGCTTTACCTTCTAATCCAGTCATAATTATTTCAGAAGCAGCAGCTTGTTTAGATGCAGTGAACAGCAATTTTGAAATAACCCCAAAGGTTTTTCTGGGTGGAAATCAAAACTCATATAGAGACTCTGCCTATTTCTCTGATAATGATTCTGAGCCAGATAAAAAACCAGAAGAGACTGTAAATCTGTCAAGAGAGACTATGTGTGTTGTTTCTTTAAATAGAGGAGAGAATAATACCGAAGAGGATTACAGTTTTGAAGAGAGACAGCAAAAGTGTGATGTAAGGAATTACCAGGATGCCAATAACCAAAATGCAAAACTGGAACTAAATCACAACTTAGAGATGCAAGAGATGGATGTAAGGATGCAGGCGTGTCCTGATGAGTGGGCTGAGGCAACTCTGAATTCCCTGGAAATATCGATAGGAAGTAACCTGAGGGATGAAATAAAACTAACTGAGACTTCCCATAAAACCGTCTCTTGTGTTGGCACTAATACTTCAGAACTTCTTTCACACAGAGACTTAAAGTCTGTGCATAACATACACAGTCCTTTAGATTTGAGTAACAGTGAGAAGTCCTTCTGTCACATTGAAGGGCAAAAACTGAAAGAGCCAGATATTGAAGGAAAATACCTCGGCAAACTCGACGTTTCTGGAATGCTTGATTTAGAAGATGGTGATGATGCAGATGAGGAAGATGAAAACAGTGATTCTGAGGATGACATGAGGACTTTTCATATGCATAGTCTGAGTTCTGACAGTGAAGATGAAACTGTTCATGAAGTACCTGAGATACTTACTGACAAGGATGATGGAAAACACCTGAGAAGCTTGTTGAAACTTCCAAAACCTCTCAATGAAAGGCAACATGAGCTTTGGAAAAATGAGAAAAAGGCTGTAACATTCTTTGATGATGTGACGGTCTATTTGTTTGATCAGGTATCGTCGTTTTTTCGTTTTGTTTTTCTCCAATTACTAAGTGAAGTTTTTGTCGGTTTGGGTTTTTTTTAAACAAGATGTGGTAAATAGCTTAATATTTGTGGACACATTGTTACAAGATCACTTTTCTTGTCTGGACAGTGTCAGATCTTGTTTGTGATGTGGATCATTTTTTCTTTATATACAAAGAAAAAAAACTTTTTCTTGGCTGGATGCAGTTGTGTGCTGCTGGTAGAATAGCAGCACTAATTTGAAGTGAAGGAGGGTTTTACTTTGGGCGGGGTTGGTTGCTAAATCCTGAATCTCCCTTGCTTTTGGACCCTTGACTGCATATGCTGAATGAAACGTGATGCCTTTATGATGTTTATAAGCTGTATTTAATTTGAATATGTGAGACAGCATCTTTATGGATTAGATTTGATTAATTTATTTTACCAGAATGTTGTTGTAACTTCATAGAAGCAGTTTCTGTTTAATGTGTTTGAGGATTTAAAGTTCAAATGCCTTTATAAAAGAAAAGAAGGGGAAAAAAAAACCCCAAACCCATAAAAAAAACCAAACCACAACCTAATTCTGAATCTTGTGTTAGTTAGCATTAAGGTAAATTTACCTTAAACCATAATCAAAGATAAAAACAGTATTTAGATGGTAATGTTACTTTTTATTAATCCAATGTGATTCACGTTCGGTGAAATACTGATCTGCTTATAAAATTCAAGGTTACCTTTGTTTCCCTATCTGCTTTATCAATTTTTAACTTCTGTAACTTGATACAGAGGGGATTGTATTTTAACATTATGGCAACTAAACTAGTACAGTGAGTTTAAAAGAACAGTCACATTGTCAAGCTTTGGAAATGTTGCTTATGATGACGCACATAAATATTAGAGATAATTGTGTTTTGGAATAGAAAACATAGGTGATATATTTGTGTTTAGGCAGTCTGTAGAATAGTAATCCTTTTGTCAGTGGGGAAGGAAAAAAATTAGCTGTGTTTAAACTGCTCTTAGTTGCTGAACTCTTTACTTATTATTACAGTAACTGATAAAATGTTGGCTACTTCAAATACTGGTCATACAAAGTCTGTCTCTTTATCCTGAACCATGATTAAAGGGTAAAAAAAAAAAAAATGTTGGGAGACGGGCTAAAGCTTTATTAAATAGGAAAAAACCCTACCTGTGTCAGACTGATAAGGGAACTGTTTTCAGTTGGAAGATGTTTTAGCTTTGTTCCTAGAAATGTGAAACCTTCTTATATCATAAATAATATTTAAATAGTAATTTCCTGCATGCATTTTAGCGTAGATTTGATACAACTTTCTTTAGAAATAGAAGTACGTGCATATGCTTAATCTATAAGTCAAAGTTTTGTTGTGTGGTAATAGCTTAAGGGTTTACAGATCATTTTAATTCCATAGTAGATTGGATGACGGGGGTGGGGGAGCGTATTTTTTGAATGCTTGCATCTCTAAGCATGGATATGTTGTGTGTACAAGAGGGTTAAGTAAGTTACTTTGTTTGCCTTAGGAAACGCCAACTAAGGAGCTGGGAAACCGTGCAGCAGACTTGAACGGCGAAGGCTCTCACAGCACTCCTGCTCCATCTTCGAGTTTTAGTTACTTAAACAGATTTGCAAATTCAGAAAGCTCGACAGATGAAGAAGGTACTTGAATATATTTATACACAGCAGGGGTTGACACTGTTTTATGCAGTTTTTAATGAAATGTCATTTAAATTATATGTGATTTGTAAATTTACTGTACCATACTGGCTTCAGTTTTGCATCTTAAGCACACACTTCAGCTAGGCTCAGGTAGTGTTACTGATTATCAAAGCTTGTGATGTGATACTGGTTGTTTATATATTGATGTGGCTAGGGAATCTTGAGAGGCAACCAAACTATGGATGACAAATCTTTGTGACCCCCAGGGCTAGAACAGAAGGCTACAAGTTTTGTTTTGGGTTAATGCAGTCTTCCAGGAGCTTGCTTTTAAAACTGTATATGACTTTACATTACTGTAAATTGCTTCTCTTTTCTTTTTTCCTTTTTTTTTCCCCCCAAGGTGGGGGTTTTGAGTGGGATGATGACTTCTCTTCTCCAGAGCCATCCTTTATATCAAAGGCAGCTAATAGTCTTATTAGTTCTAAACCACCTCTTCAGTCATCAAAGTACTTCTCTCCACCTCCACCTTCCCGGACTCTCGATCAGACCTGGTCACATTCATCCCCTTATTCCAGATTCTCTATCTCTCCGGCAAACATGGCAAGCTTTTCTCTTACGCATCTTACAGATTCAGATATAGAGCAAGGAGGTAAGTGATTTAGTTACAATAATTATTTTAAAACTACAAATTAAAAACTTTATGCAAAGTTATAGCTAATAGATATGACAAATCTTGTTTTATTTTAAATACTTAATTTGGAAATGCATTTTTAACACTGTAAAAGTTATGTCTGGTCTTGTATTTCGGTTAAGACATAGCTTTCCATTTAGATTGAGATTATTTGCATCCAAGTTGCTACAAACTTGCGGTTGGATATTCTACGGAACATTTACAGGACAAGCTCACAATTTTTCTGTTCAAAAAACTAGTGCTTTATTTATATAAATGAAATCTATGCAGTCCTTAAGCACTTCTGTATAGCTGCCACACTATGGCAGTTGAATAATTCTCATTATTGCACTGTCATAAGTCACAATTTTATTTTCATTGCACAGGGTGAGGATGCTAGGAACGTAATGTTTCTGTCATTGTCTAAGCTTATTTTACAGTTCAGTTCCTTTTCATACTGCTTTTTAGAAAGTGCATTCTTGACATTCTCTCAAGAATTGCAGCATGTTTTCTAGAGCTGTGAGTAGGATAGTTTCTGTTAGGAGAGGCAAACAATCTGTTCATAGCAATATTGAGTACTAGCAGTATTTATTAACAGAAGCTTTCTTGTCTGTAACAAAAAGCTTTTTTTAAGCTTTGATACATTTTTGAGGGTTATGAGAAGCAAAAATAAGCAGACTTGAATCAGTTCAGCATACTAATAATCTTGATTAAATGTTGCATTTTTAAAAATAAATATTACTGATGGCTGAGCCTTGCTAATGGTCAATGTCTATAAAAATGTAATCAGTGTTTATATAGAGAGAGTTGTATTGTTCTTGTATTGTGCTTATTGATTAGATAATGTTTGCTGCTTAGTAACTTAGATAAGGGAGATTATTTTGGAGATCCTACATTGACTTACGTGTCCTAAGAAGTGACATTGAACTGTGCGATTTAAGCAGATGTCTATGTATAAATGTTTTTTTTGGGAAAGATTAACCAAAACTTGGAAGTGCGAAACAGCAGAATGCCAAGTTCTAGGAAGAGTCTTACAAAAGGAGTGAGGGTTCTGCAGAAGAATCTCACTGTACCTTGTGACCTTTCCTCTACTAATAGGAAGCAGTGAAGACGGAGAAAAAGATTAAATGAATTAAAAGTTCCTTGGACTACACACATAAAACACACAGACTTTGTCTGAAACTTTATCTAAACTCTGGACCCTCCTGGAGTTACACAGGTAATCAAGAAGTACTAAGAAATGAAAGTAAACACTGAAAGCAATGTTAAATCAGGACATTAATTTGAATGTGTATTTAACTTTGTAATGTATTTTTAAATCAGTGCAATTTTGCTTTTCATTGAAAGATGATTCTGCCGCTGTTTTCAAGTACTTGAAGTATTTTTCAGATAACTTAAGAAACAATTAAAGCAATTACACTACAGTCTGGTTTATGTATGAGATTGTATAATATTCTTTTTATATTTTTCATGTAGTTCATTATCTGTTTGAACATACACCTGTTGTAGAATTGTGTATAACTGTCCTGTGCAACAGGTGGCTGTGTTGCTGAAACTGTATGAATGATAGTTGATCAGTAGTGAGCCATATTTATTCAAAAAGGTATCACTACGTATTACGTTGCTTATTACAATTGCACTATGGATTATTCTTCCTTTATTTCCTGATGATGTACAGAATCAAAATCTTAAATCTTTCAAGGAAAATAAGACAAGTTGAATTGGCCCAGTTACCCAGTTTAATTTGTCCTTTTTGTAGCCTTTGCTATGCACGGTACTTGTAAAACATACATAACTTCTGAGTGTTATGTTAGACTTGCTGAAATCTTATATTCAGTACCATTTCTAAATGATAATGATTATAGATTGATTGTTAGTGTTCATGTTTTATAGGAAACTGGAAAAGAATATATGATATACTCTGGAATTTTTAGATGAAAGAGATAATGTCTCTTAATTCTTGAATATGATCCTACTGACTGCTTAAACTGTAATAGCATCTGACTATATCATAATTAAGGGCCTTCCAGTTTTTACTACAATTTCTGCCTTGGAGAGAGAAAAGGAAAAATTGGCTGTACAAAACTGTGGAATTTATGAATCTTATAAAAAGACTAATTTCAATAGACTGGATTTGGGCACACTTGGCTCTTCAGTTGTACATTCTGTGAATTTTGAAGCTTGCTCTTCTGCTGACTGCAGATTGGAGCTGCCATTCAGAGGCCTGTGGTAAATCTACCTCTCAGTGATGTTACGACAATTAAGAATGAGATTAATGGTTAATGCCCAATTTTGCACCATTTATAAGGCCAGACCTATTTTAAGATGTCTGCAAGGCTCCATGGTACATCTTGAAATGCATGCTGACCCAAAGGTGCAGTATAGTAAAGTTTGCTCTGAAGCTGTCTGTAGGGAAGGAAATACAATGGGGTTTTTTTAACCTTTATACTCTACCATGCATTTAGCTAGTTTAATCCTTTAAACTGCTTGGGGGGAAAAAAAAAAATCCTTAATTATTACTTCAGAATGAGTTCAGTTGAGAAAGAAATCCCTGACTTCTTGGAATGCCTTATGCAGCTGTGGATCTGTAGGAAACACTGATAGGAACAGGTTACCTGGCTTTGTATTTTGTATTTTAGTGTACTAAAATACAAATGTACTAAAATACAAAGTACTCTACAAAGTGGCTATTTTGGCAGGGCTTCAGTATGATGGTGGTCCAAATGCTGTGTGTTCAGATCCAGTCACCAGAGAATTTTCATCACGTGAAGTATGGGAGGGCTAGATATTTTCAGATGTGTAAAGTTGTTTTTTTTTATACCTCTGTATGCATTTTGATTTTTTTTAAGTATGTTTTAAAATGACAGGAATATGTTAATTGCTTTTTTCACAGCATTATTTAGCCCTTAACCAGAATGGTTTCCATACCGATCAAAAGGGAATGATTTAGTTATAATGTTATTTAAAGTTGCCAATGTATTGTTGAGATAATTTTTTCTGATGAGGCACTCGGGTTCAGGGTTAATCAGAACTGTTCTTCAGTATGAAGTAAGGAAACAAATTTTTCATGGACTTTTCCCAAAAACATGATTTAAGAGGCAAAGCCAAGTAGTTCTTAATACAGGCTTACAGTATATACTGTAGAAGGTTTAAGGAAGCTGTGCTCTACTGTCAATAATTTAAAATATAAGTAATAGACTTTGTGCACAAATTATTGCTTAGAAATTCCATAATTCCAACATAAACTCCCCGATACAGCTACATTAAGGTATCTCATCGGTCCTCTATAATTCTCACCATACTTTAAGTACAGAAAATGAAAACTAAGAATGAAACTCCATAATGGTCTGCAAAGAATGTGTGGGCTTATCTGCCTTGCATGGTGAAAAATATACTGTATCAGACCTGGAGTTCAGCCTTAATTTTGAATAATTTGATTTAAAATATAGTCCAAGGTTAAATAAAAGCTTATACTCCAGAATGTTACAATTTGGTTGTGCATTTTGTTTCTTATAATTCTGGAAAATCAGATGTTTATCTTGCCCATCAGGAATTTCCCTTGCTTGATGGTAATCTAAGATTTTTGTTCTTCACCCGGCTTTAAAGAAAATCTTACATAGGAAGTGAAGGTTTACTCCTTTGTCCGAATGGACTCATTGCTAATGAATTGCTAAAGGAGCATTTTTTTCCAAAATGAGCTGGGATGTGTATGATATTAAGCAAGGTAATGTCCTTTTTAGCTGTACAGTGAAGAGAAAGAAATATTTAAAGTTGACTCATCTCACTTAAACGATGAATTTTAATTTCAGTAATCCAGTAGGCTGGATTGCAATAATACAAAAGGTCTTTTTTTGGAAAAATTTATGGTTAAAAATTGATCAACTACTAGTAGTATTTAAATATCTGCCTAGCAGTCAGTGGCACAATGAAGACGAATCAGTAATTCCAACACGTTACATTATAATAAGGGGATTTGTTAGAAATCATTCATTAAACTATATGTAATTTCTTGCACTAGCTACTGAAGCATGGTTTCTGTTTTAGAAGTACATGTATCTATTTTCAATGGTTTATTATGAGGACTGGTTACATTTTAATTCCTTCTCTAGTAGAATACCTTGATTATTTGAATACGGAAGGCATTGTCTCAATTTGGCTACTAAAGTTATTTAAAAGATCTGATTTTTCCCACGTAAGGAAGTTTGTTTAAAAATGAAGATCTGTGGTGAGAAGCCATGCGTCCAGTTTTAATGGAAACACCTGTACTCTCCAAAATCCCCAAGCTGCAGATATGTTGCGTGTATAACTGCATTTATGGAAACTGCCATTTTCATGCAAATGAGCGGATTAAACATTTTTTCATATCCTTGTTGATGCACTAATGAAAGCCATTTAAGCCTCATTCTTTTTATCAGTATTTTTAGCAGATTTTTATGTAGTACTCAATCTTTTTCATGAGGAGGCTGGTTGGTAGAAAGACTTTTTTTTATGATTAAGCACTATGCTAAACGTCAGCATTGTCAGGTGTTGTTGACATGGCTATTTTTGTTGGAGTTGGTGAAAGGTGGAATCTAAGTATATTAGCCTTATAAGAAATAGCCTTAAGTAAGAATGGAGTGTACAAAATTACTTCAGCTTTAAATCATACAGAAATATCCTTGTATGTTAATGGTTTTGGTACAAGACTGGGAAAAATCTAGAGGAGCGTCAAACATCATATAAACTTATTGAAAATAAGTATTTGTAATACCAGCAGCCTGTTTTTCAGAAACTTGAATATGACTTACAGTTAGTTTTGTTTATGAAATTGTTTGAACTTGCACAGATGTAGGTGTAACTTAAATGATAAATGGTACTGATGTGTGTGTATATATAATGTTTAATTCTATTTGTAAATGAGAAACTATGTAACAAAATCATAGGTATGAGGTTTTCCTATTGTAATTTAATACAGGTATGAGGTTTATGGCAATATATCGTAGTTAATGAAATTTCAGGTCAAAATGTCTTTAAATTGTGTACATTTTTAAATTGTAATTTCTACTGTATATTGATTATCATGCATAGTGTGATTCAAGAAACTGCTTGTAATTTAAAAATATTTAATATTAAAAATAAAATACAGTTATATATTTATAATCTCTTTGTCTATGTTTGTTCATTCTTAAACAGATGCCAGCAATGGATCAGGTCCACAGTATAGTTCTACTGTAAGATATATTTGTTAGTGTCCAGAGGTTGAGAAAGTACCAAAAACTCAAAGCTACAGTCCCAGCAGATGAGTCTGCACTAAATAGTGTAGTCACCTTTAATTTCTTCTAGTATCACCCTTGTGTGAACTTCAGGTAATGTGCATACGCAGTCAGTAGAGAAGCAATACTTAAAATACAAACAGTGTAATTCTAAAAACTGAATATTGCTTTTAATCCTAAAATTAAGCATCTGTAGGAAGAATGGAGATTTCAGAATTAAGTACCCTTCAGAAAACAAGTTAATGATATGTTTTCTCAGTATTTATTGAGTTTATTTCTCGAATTTTTTTTTTTTTTAAATCTAAGTGCATGTGTTGAATGGACCTAAGATGGCTAGGTGAATGTAGTACTTGTGTGTATTGGTAGCTTCTTTCACATGAGATTGAGACTGTTTCAGCCTGGGCACTCCGTGAGGCAGGAGGGGGGTGCTGTTTTTTTCCTCTTACCCTGTGAACTGTTAAGGTTGTGATGACACATCACAGCAATGTCAGTAGTTAATGGAGGCTGTTGTGGAAGCCCTCACATCGTGTCGCAGCTGTTCTGAGTCCTGGTGGCTGTTGAGGCCTGGGAATGAGAAACTGGTATCAAGATGACTTAACTTCATTAGGTAAAATATAACTACTGGACTGAAATTTGACCAAGACAGTGGTCGTTATTGAGAACAGATGTAAAAGATCCCATGGCACTAAACTGGTCATCTTATATAGAACCTATTATCAAAGAATTTGAGCATTTGCAATCTTTGTCATCAGCAGCCTTCTTGCAAGGGAGGGACATACTTTGTCTGTGGGCCTCTTTCACACAGGTGGTATGGTAACTTGCACAGCCCTTGGCGGAACAGAGTTGAGACAGACTTTTTCCTGCTCCACCTGAGGACACTCCACCTGCTGAAGTAAGTACTAGACCAACCCCTCCTGCAGTGACACTGCCCTGCCTGGCTTAGCTTCCATCAGTCTGGTGGCAGCACCTCGATACCCACCCTGCCGCCGTGCTGGCTGAGAGTGCTCCCTCCCCCCTGCCATTTTGTTGTCACCATCCAAAACCCAGGAGCCTTGCTGTCTCCGTGGGGGTAGGAAGGGTAATGGCGATAGCTGGGGGTCATGTGCCCTGCACGACTCGGTTGCCTGGACCTGGTGCTTCGCCTCCGTACACGCGTGACGGGGGGCCCCTTCCCCGTGAGGGCTGTTACTTTGCAGGCTGGGCGCTGAGGCGTGGAACGCCCGCCTGCGCCGGGCCGGGC